CCTATGTTACAAGGTGTGAAATTGAGTAAGACTCAAAGCCCGACCACGGCAGAAGATAGAAAGAGAATGAAAGTCATTCCCTATGCCTCAGCCATAGGTTCTATAAAGTATGCCATGCTATGTACCAGATCTATTGTATACCCTACACTGATTTTGGCAAGGGAGTATAATAGTGATCTAGGAGTAGATCACTGGACATCGGTCAAAATTATCCTTAGTGGAATAAGGATATATTTCTCGATTATGGAGGTGACAAAAGGTTCATCGTAAAAGGATTACGTCGATACAAGTTTTTGGCACTGATCCGGATGACTCTAAGACTTCATCTGGATACATATTGAAAGTGGGAGCAAATAGCTAAAGTAGCTCCGTGCAGAGCATTGTAGACATAGAAATTTGCAAAATACATACAGATCTGAATTTTGGCAGACTCGTTGACTAAGCTTCTCTCACAAGCAAAACATGATCACACCTTAGTACTCTTTGGGTGTTAATCACATATAGATGTGAACTAGATTACTGACTCTAGTAAACCCTTTGAGTGTTGGTCACATGACGATATGAACTATGGGTGTTAATCACATGGTGATGTGAACTATTGATGTTAAATCACATGGCGATGTGATCTAGATTATTGACTCTAGTGCAAGTGGGAGACTGAAGAAAATATGCCCTAGAGGCAATAATAAAGTTATTATTTATTTCCTTATTTCATGATAAATGTGTATTATTCATGCTAGAATTGTATTAACCGGAAACATAATACATGTGTGAATACATAGACAAACAAAGTGTCACTAGTATGCCTCTACTTGACTAGCTCGTTAATCAAAGATGGTTATGTTTCCTAACCGTAGACATGTGTTGTCATTTGATTAACAGGATCACATCATTAGGAGAATGATGTGATTTACATGACCCATTCCATTAGCTTAGCACCCGATCGTTTAGTATGTTGCTATTGCTTTCTTCATGACTTATACATGTTCCTATGACTATGAGATTATGCAACTCCCGTTTGCCGGAGGAACACTTTGTGTGCTACCAAACGTCACAATGTAACTGGATGATTATAAAGGATCTCTACAGGTGTCTCCAAAGGTACATGTTGGGTTGGTGTATTTCGAGATTATGATTTGTCACTTCGATTGTCGGAGAGGTATCTCTGGGCCCTCTCGGTAATGCACATCACATAAGCCTTGCAAGCATTGCAACTAATGAGTTAGTTGCGAGATGATGTATTACGAAACGAGTAAAGAGACTTGTCGGTAACGAGATTGAACTAGGTATTGAGATACCGACGATTGAATCTCGGGCAAGTAACATACCGATGACAAAGGGAACAACGTATGTTGTTATGCGGTCTGACCGATAAAGATCTTCGTAGAATATGTGGGAGCCAATATGAGCATCCAGGTTCCGCTACTGGTTATTGACCGGAGACATGTCTCGGTCATGTCTACATTGTTCTCGAACCCGTAGGGTCCGCACGCTTAAGGTTTCGATGACATTTATATTATGAGTGTATGAGTTTTGATGTACCGAAGTTAGTTCGGAGTCCCGGATGTGATCACGGACATGACGAGGAGTCTCGAAATGGTCAAGACATAAAGATTGATATATTGGACGGCTATATTTGGACACCGGAAGTGTTCCAGGTGATTTCGGAGAAAACCGAAGTGCTGGAGGGTTACCGGAACCCCCCGGGAGAAGTAATGGGCCTTATGGGCCCTAGTGGAGAGAGAGAGGGGGCGGCCAGGGTGGGCCGCACGCCCCTCCCCCTCTGGTCCGAATTGGACTAGGAGAGGGGGGCGGGCCCCCCTTTCCTTCTCCCTCTCCCCCTTCCTTTCCCCCTCCTAGTAGGAGTAGGAAAGAGGGGAGTCCTACTCATACTAGGAGGAGGACTCCTCCTCCTTGGCGCGCCCTAGGGCCGGCCGGCCTCCTCCCCTTGCTCCTTTATATACGGGGGCAGGGGCACCCCTAGACACACAAGTTGATCCTCGTGATCGTTTTCTTCGCCGTGTGCGGTGCCCCCTTACACCATACTCCTCGATAATATTGTAGTGGTGCTTAGGCGAAGCCCTGCGATAGTTGAACATCAAGATCATCACCACGCCATCATGCTGACGGAACTCTTCCCCGACACTTTGCTGGATCGGAGTCCGGGGATCGTCATCGAGCTGAACGTGTGCTAGAACTCGGAGGTACCGTAGTTTCGGTGCTTGATCGGTCGGGCCGTGAAGACGTATGACTACATCAACTGCGTTGTCATAACGCTTCCGCTTCCGGTTTACGAGGGTACGTAGACAACACTCTCCCCTCTCGTTGCTATGCATCACCATGATCTTGCGTGTGCGTAGGAAATTTTTTGAAATTACTACGTTCCCCAACAATCACACCCTACGGTTAGTTGTATGTTGATAGGACTATGTATTGGAGGGCAAGAGTGACAGAAGCTTCAACCTAGCATAGAAATTGATACATACGGGATTGAAGGGGGATCAATATATCTTAATGCTATGGTTGGGTTTTACCTTAATGAACATTAGTAGTTGCGGATGCTTGCTGATAGTTCCAATCATAAGTGCATAGAATTCCAAGTCAGGGATGACATGCTAGCAGTGGCCTCTCCCACATAATACTTGCTATCGGTCTAGTAAAGTAGTCAATTACTTAAGGGACAATTTCGCAACTCCTACCACCACTTTTCCACACTCGCTATATTTACTTTAGTTGCTTCTTTACCTTAACAGCCCCTAGTTTTATTTTCGTGCTCTTTACTTTCTTGCAAGCCTTTCTGAAAACACCTACAAAGTACTTTTAGTTTCATACTTGTTCTAGGTAAAGCGAACGGCAAGCGTGCGTAGAGTTGTATCGGTGGTCGATAGGACTTGAGAGAATATTTGTTATACCTTTAGCTCCTCGTTGGGTTCGACACTCTTACTTATCGAAAACTGTTGCGGTCCCCTATACTTGTGGGTTATCACATAACAACATACGTTGTTCCCTTTGTCATCGGTATGTTACTTGCCCGAGATTCGATCGTCGGTATCTGAATACCTAGTTCAATCTCGTTACCGGCAAGTCTCTTTACTCGTTCCATAATGCAACATCCCGCAACTAACTCATTAGTCACATTGCTTGCAAGGCTTATAGTGTTGTGCATTACCGAGAGGGCCCAGAGATACCTCTCTGATACACGGAGTGACAAATCCTAATCTCGATCTATGCCAACTCAACAAACACTATTGGAGACACCTATAGAGCATCTCTATAGTCACCCAGTTACGTTGTGACGTTTGATAGCACATTCAGTGTTCCTCCGGTATTCGGGAGTTGCATAATCTCATAATCATAGGAATATGTATAAGTCATGAAGAATGCAATAGCAATAAACTAAACGATCATAGTGCTAAGCTAACGGATGGGTCAAGTCAATCACATCATTCTCTAATGATGTGATCCCGTTTATCAAATGACAACTCATGTCTATGGTTAGGAAACTTAACCATCTTTTGATTAACGAGCTAGTTAAGTAGAGGCATACTAGTGACACTTTGTCTGTCTATGTATTCACACATGTACTAAGTTTATGGTTAATACAATTCTAGCATGAATAATAAACATTTATTATGATATAAGGAAATATAAATAACAACTTTATTATTGCCTCTAGGGCATATTTCCTTCATTAAATCCAATCAAATGTTAGTTTTTCCTTACTTCACAAAAATTGTTTTTGGAGCTCGGCCTCCATGAAGGCTGGTTTTTGAAAAGTTCAAAACTCAAGAAAAAAACATATTTTTAGATTTCAAAACATTCTGAAAAAAATTCAGACATATAATGGAGGCATAACACACATGTGCGTAAATTTTCTGGACTAAATACGTTAAAATAAGGGTCGTGCAAAAAAGTATGAATATGTGTCTTTTCAACACATGATATTATTCATCTCAAAAGTCATGAATTTGTTCTTTTTGCACAGATCGCATCTCAAGGTATTTCATTCTGAAATTCTAAAGACATACATATTACATCCTTGTGTACTTGTACAATTTTTTCAGGTTTTTTTAAACCAAAAGGTATGATTTTTTTTTTTTGAAAATCCGGCCTCCGTGGAGGTCAAGCTCCGAAATGCCCTTCTCCTTGGAGAAAACTTTGTTTTTGCCACTCTAGTTTTTTTCAATTTTGCTTATGCCACTCTAGAATTTGACATATCACTTTTGCCGCTCTTTGCTTTTAACAATACATCACAAATGCCATTTCATGGCAAAAATGATAATTTTTTATTTCACTTTTGCCGCTCTTAGCTTTTGATAATATATCACAATTACCACTCTAAATTTTTTGCTTTTGCCACTGAATGACAAAAGTGATATATTGTCAAAAGCTAAGAGTGACAAAAGTAAAATGTCACATCCTAGAGTGGCATAAGCAAAATGGACAAAACCTAAAGTTGCAAAAACAAGATTTTTCCTTCTTCTTAATGAACAGCCTATCTTGCGCGAAAAGAGAAGAAAAGACTATCTCGAGTTCGTCGGTGACTAGGTTTCGTAGAGGATCTTACGGCCACGGCCTATCCCGAGTTCGTTGGTGACTGGGTTTCGTAGAGGCGCTGCTCCCTCCCCTGATAAAAAGACAGGCGCTAGTTGATTATATATAGAGGAAAAGCCTGAGTCGGTTGTCCGTCTCATCTCATCAATCAAATGAGTAGGAAGATGGGAGTGAGGCTGACGATGCATCACATGGCCGCCGCCGCCGGCGGCTGGATCTCCCTGCCGGCAGAGCTCCTCAAGGAAGTCTCCGACCGTCTGCGGGCCGACACGGACCAAATCCACATCCGCCAGGTATGCGCCCACTGGCGCGCGTCCACCGCCCCGCTCGCGGCCCTCCGCCTGTGGGTCGTCGCCGCCCACGACCGCCACCGAGATCCTTTTAGCGCGGTCAACCCCGTCGGCGAACACTCCTTGTGGCTGCCCCGCGGCGGCAGCGACCCAAGGATGGACCCCCGGGCACCGGCCCCGGCCGGCCTCCCCTACTGCTGCGGCACGCCCTGTGGCTGGCTCGCTCTCACGGACCACCTGCGATCCCCCACCAGGCTCATCCTCTGGGAGCCCCTCTCCAAAGCCGAGATCCCTCTGCCCACTCTCACAACCGTCGCCCAAGTGTTCCTCTCCGGAGACCCGCTCGCCTCGCCGGGCTGCCGCTGGATGGCGATCGCGAGCCAAAAGATCCCCGGCGCACAGATCGGGCAGAGGCTCTTCTTCTGGCGCCCCGGAGACGCGGGCTGGGTGATGCAGCTCGAGTACCCTAACGGCAGGATCGAAGGCGCGGCCTTCCACAACGGCAGATTCTACGTCTCCACCATCAACATGTCCCTCGACATTTTCGACCTCCAACACCATCCTCCCAATCGTCTGCGCCGCATCTGCCTCTACGCTCCTTTGCAAGCGCGGTATCCACGCTACCCTGGGAATCCGATACCGCATGCTGTGGCCTGCAACAACCAGATGCTGCTCGTCATCGTGTATCGCGGACCACGCCAGGCCGTGATACTTGCGGAAGTGCACCGCCCGGATTGGGATGCCGACCGCCTCGACCTCCGGGAGCACAAGGTGTCGGATCTCGGCGACTACTCGCTCTTCCTGGGCCGGGGTGACACGCTCGCGCTCTCTGCAAACGAGTTCCCGGCCATCAGAAGAAATTGTGTCTACTTTGTGGAGCATGATACATACAAGCATGAGCAGTGGGTGGTTGTGTTTGATTTGGGGTCAAACGATTTGGAACGGATTCCCCACCCACAAGAGCACCTGGAGGGCGGCGGCAAAAGCACTGGCTGGCTGGCGTATTCCTGGTTCTGTCCCAGAAGGCCCTTCCTTGGGAAGCAGGCCCTATGAGGTATTGGCATCATTTTGGTCATTTGGAATGCCAAATAAATCAACTTATGCCCTTCGCATTTTTCATGTGTTGAGATTCAAGTCATACAAAGTATACAAAGACGTACACAATCCATGTTGTGCACTTGTAATATTTTACACATTCGATACACGCATCAATCCTTTTACTGAATTTCATAGCATGGATTTGAACACTAAGAAACAAAGTGGAACGCAAACCGAGTCATACTACAAAGCATAGCTTGTGAAGATTGAGTGAGAGCCGAGGTGCGCGCGGGATTACACAAGTGATCCTTCAAATCATTCGATGTTGCCACAAAGCAAAGGAGAAGAAATTCAAACCAGAAGCAGCATATGATTCGTGCAATTGCTTGTAGCTAAACCCTCGTGGTCATACCTGCACCGAGCTTCTTCATGGACGGCCTGGACATCATATCCTCCCACCAAGCTTTAACGTGTGGGTACAAGTCGAACAGAGACGCATATGGCGTCGCATCCATGAGGTAGAAAGTACACCCGAAATGGTTTAGATCTGCAAAGCTGACAAAATCACCCGCTAAATACTTGTGTTTGGACAGGCGGGCTTCGTAGATTTCTAGAACCTTCTTCGCCTTCTCCAAGCTTTCATCCACATTCCTTTGATTCGTGGGAAGACCGCGTAAGGTCGGGTATATAAAGCACTCCAGCACGATCGGTGAGAGGACCGGGTGGTATTGGTGTCCTTCGACCTCCGTCCATATGTCTACCATGGCAGCTTCCTTCAGATTGCTCTCCCTCAACAAGTCCACTTGCTCCGACTTGTATTTGCGAAGCACGTATTTAGCAATGGCGCATGACTCTGAAAAGATGAACAAATTAGTAACATGAGTCATGACGAATATGAAACCAAGATTGCACTTGTTCGATTAGCTCAAGCAAGATATATGAAGGTCCAAAGAAATTTAACTAGACAACTCAAGCAAGTTGTATTATAGGAATCTTGATTGCACTTGTTCGATTAACTCGAGCAAGTTGTATTATAGGAATCTTGATTTGCAGCCGACGAACTAATATAACCTAATAGAAGGAGACCAATTGAGGTGTTTATCTTACTTACATTCCCGGCGAGGTGCTCAGGGCGCTTATGCCCCTTGCCGTGGAAGTCGATGTCGACAAGCTCGTACTCGGTGCCCACCTCCTCTAGGCAGACGAGCACCCTCACCACATTCGTTGACGCGGCCGGCCCGAACACCTTCATTGGCGCCATTTCCTTGTGGAAGTGATGTTGTCCGGTGGCAGAATATGAAGATATGGTGGTTGCGATGTGCGGGCAGCCAAGATCTACGGAAGAGTGGGCGTCCCTTTCGATGAGCTGGTTTGTAGGTCCTCCAGCAACAACAGCCACGACGGCCGAACACTGTTGCTGCCTTTTCTCCCTCAAAATTCAGTTATCTGGAAATAACAGCCGAATTAACCTCGAATTTTCTAGTTACCAACCATTTGGTTTGGTCAGGGCGGAAAAATTGGAAGCAGGGGCAGCTATGTCGAGTGTCAACTACGGAGAACCGTCTGGCGGGGGCAGGGGGAAACAGTGATGTCTGAACCTGGGCTAGGTTGGCAGGAGGAGGAGCAAGCCGTGGGGGCTTGGGATCTAGGTGACAGTGGCACGAGTGGGACCTGGGGGAGGTAAAGAGAAGGAGACAACCATGGGGACATCCACAGCTGGCTGACACGCGGCGGCGCACAGTGGCACGGTGCGGGTGTGGAGAGGTTCTCCTTTCTGTCGGCAGAAGTGAGCAACGCGACGCAGTGCTTATGACCTCGAGCTCAAATGAGGTTAGGTATATATAAATTCAAAAAATTCTGAATTTTTTTTCTAACAGATATTGAAGAATGTTTTGAGTGTCATAAAATTTCATCGTGGAACAACATATGATACGTCCCACTCCATCTTTCCGTCGGCGTCCGTCTCATCCGCAGGGCTTTTGCTGCCTACTAGCTAACCCTAACCGGGCAACCTACGGTCTAGATCCACGACAGCGGGCGAGGTATCGGGCCACTGAGCTCCACTTTGAACTACGGCGGTGGAAGAGGAAAAGCGGCAAGGGTTAGCTAGTAGGCGGCGAATTGCACAGAATTCGACTGGTTATTAAAAATAAATGAAAATGTAGAATTGACCTAGACTGCCGCCAAAAAACAGTCGCCTGACTTATATATAAGTATAAAAGGAGGAGGAGGAGCCATGGAGTCGCACCCAAGTCCATCGACTTGGACGACGGGATTGCGTGCATAAATGTTGTGCCGTCGAGTCTAATCATTAGCAATATTTTTTTAGCTACGGCTGCTACCGATTACCCATGAGTTGGAGGAGGTCTGTTATGAAGTCGGCGTGCCGATTCTAGAGCACCCGCCCTTTATTGTCATCGACTTTGCCCTGGATATCCATCGACTTCATACTAAACGCCCATTAGTACTAATTTATACTAAACTTTTATACTTATAGAACTTACTTTTAGCATTATAGTATTAATTATTATAATTTTATGTTACTTCTTTTGACATACTTAACCAAATATCTAGCAACGCTGCAAAGTACTAGTTGATTGTTCTATGATATAAGGTTTTAATATATCACTGAAAATACTTCTACATTGTGCTTAGTTTAAACTTTATTTCAAAACAGAAGTTCCTTCTTAATATTTTAAAAAATCTTAATCTATATAGTATATAAGTCTATCCAGCAAAGATCTCTGGCGTACGATCTAATAAATATTTCAATAGCGGTTTCTAGTGTATGATTAGATAAACATATTCATATAACTTCTAGACAATAATATTAACATTGACATGATCCTTTGAAGTTTTTTGTGGTCAAATGTGTCTTGCAAGTTAAAATGGATCTAGTAATAAGTTGACAATGTGTGTATACTCTATACTGAGTTATTGAAAGAGTGTCGCTTTGAGTAATGAGTGATGAACATAAATGATGTGGATGCTATTAATTTTTTGTAGATTAATTGGTATTTTCTTGTGTAATGTGAGTTTTATCATCTAGTGCATACAAGTGCTCCCACCAACTATCGAAATAATTGCAGCATGCTCCTACACCTAACTATACAATGGAAGGCTAAGTCAAGATGGTAAATTTTAAGCAACATGGTATTGAAGAGGCTGATTAAGCCGCGTGCAATGAGTTTATATAACAAGTTACACCCAAGATATGTGAGCTAGAATTAGAATATATGAAGTTATTTCAGAAGCTACCTACTCTAAAAGATATATTTGAACCTGCCATTAAAATCGCCAATATATGTTCATGTTGGGTTGTTAGGAAAAAAGATCAAGATAATGAAAAGAACTTAATAGGAGAACCAACACACTCCTCCGTTGCCGATGAGACTAAAATCTCATTCATCTAGTCACCGCCCATGTTGCGTACAAGAGAAAACAAAAACCTAGCCGCCGCCTCCAATGAGAACGAGATCGCCATCTTGTAGAGCTCAGACCTGCCCAAAGGGCTGCAAGAGGGCACCACGATTTGAGTAGCCTGTCAGCACTCTGAAGTCTAGCAGCCGACGAACTAATATGACCGAATAGAAGGATGCTTACATTCCTGGTGAGGTGCTCAGGGCGCTTATGCCCCTTGCCGGGGAAGTCGATGTCGACAAGCTCGTACTCGGCGCCCACCTCCTCTAGGCAGACGAGCACCCTCGCCACGTTCGTCGACGTGGCCGGCCCGAACACCTTCGGCGCCATTTCCTTGTGGAAGTGATGTTGTCCGGTGGCAGAATATGAAGATAGGGTGGTTGCAATGTGTGGGCAGCCAAGCAGTCGCAAAATCTGTGGAAGAGTGGGAGTCCCTTTCGATGAGCTGGGGAAGGTGAAGAGGAGGAGACGACCATGAGCTGGCTGTAGGCGGCATAGGTACGTCCATAATCAGGAGGCACAGCGGCGCGCTGTGGCAGGGAGGGGGTCTGGCGAGGTGCTATTTGCTGTCGACGGAAGTGAGCAACGCGTGGCGGTGTTTCTGAGCTCGAGCTCAAACGAGGTTGAGTGAACAGTATAGACAAATAGTCAGATGTTAATCTCAAACGAGGTCTAGCGGCTGAATGCCTTTCGAAAATGATTTTCAATGCCCAGAAAAATAATTTGTTTAAAGGGCTGGCAGCAGACCTCATTCCAAATGGAGTTGCTGTCTTGCAGTACGCAGATGATACTGTTCTTTGCATTGAGGATGATATAGATAAAGCTGTTAATCTCAAACTTCTGCTATACTTGTTTGAACTTATGTCTGGCTTGAAAATCAATTTTCTTAAAAGTGAAGTGTTGTGTGTGGGGGGGATGATATGACTCTCCAAAAGTATGCTGATTTGTTTGGGTGTCAAATAGGGCATTTTCCTATGAAATATCTGGGCGTAACGGTTAGCTATTCTTCCTTGAGAAATTCTGACTGGGAGTATATAGCAATTCGATATCTTAAATATTGTGACTCATGGATTGGTAATTCTGCCTCGTCTGGTGGGAGATTAACTTTGTTGAATTCATCCCTCTCGAGCATTGCTTATTATTATATGTCAATGTTCCTACTTTCTAAGACATTTATCGAGAGACTCGATAAATATCGTCGTAAGTTTTTTTGGTGTGGAGGGAGGGGTAAAAAGCGTTATTATCTGCTTAAATGGACCAGGGTGTGCCGATCTAAGAATAAGGGTGGGCTGGGTGTGAAAGATCTTCACAAACAGAATATCTCACTATTAGCAAAATGGTGGTGGAAGTTAGATACAGGGGAGGGGATGTGGCAAGATGTGGTGAGGGCAAAATACTTTAAGAACAATTCACTAGCTGTTGTGAAAGCGAAATTTCATGATTCCCCTATATGGAAAGCACTGCTTAAAGTAAAAGAGATGTATATGGCTAGAAGGAAGGTGATTGTCAATAATGGCAATGTTGCCAGGTTGTGGCATGATCCCATTGGCACTTACCAGCCTTTGGGTGTCACTTATCCGACCCTGTTCAGTATC